GATGTCGTCGGCGTCGCCGCCGTCACAGTGCCCCGCTCATGGCCAACCTTCATCTGCTCTCTTTCTGTCCAACTCCACAATCCTCGTCGTGCCACCACCAGTAGCGCTGCTCTCTTCCTGACCAGCTCCACAATCCCCGTCATGCCGCCACCCGTAGCGTCGCTCTCTTCAGCAGCACCACCTGTTTTGCCTCAGCATCCACTCGCAGCGAGTCACAAAGAGATCTCCAGCTGAGGTTTTGAGAGTCCCTTCTCCGTCGGCCCTCTCACGTCCTAGTGTAGCGAGAATGTGTATTGAACTTGATCTTAGAAAGGCGCGGCCACAGTTCATTTGGGTTGGTTTGTTTGAAGGTTTTAAACAAGCGATTGTTTATGAGAGAGTACCCAAATTGTGTATAGGTTGCCACATGCAGGGTCACACAAATGTTGAATGCTCCAAAATCTCTTTGAACACCCACCAGCCCCAAGCTTCAGGCCCGAATCCTGCCTTGCAGGATCGCTTACAATCCGTTCGATGAAATGCCAAAGAGACCTCTTCCGTTGTTACTCAGGGTCTTGCCGCTCAATCAGCTCCCACTCTTCTCCCACATGCTGATGCACCTCCAAATATGTCCACAGCTCTGCCGAAACAGTCCTCTTGGCTTCAGCAACCCCCCATCAGTCATGGGCCAGTCCCCCACCAACAACGTATGTTGCTGCAACAGTAGCTCAATTATGTGCTTCAGAATCGCCACAGTAGGATCCCCTCGATCTCCTTCCTCCTCCAGCGACCGTGGCTGCCTCGCCCATCTCCCTATCTCCTCAGCGCCGTTTTGATCAGCGCAGCCGCATGCAAAGCAATGACCCCCGTCATCCTCCTCAAACCTCCTGTCATCCATCCTCAGCACTTACACCCTCCCCAACAATACCAATCGTGCCAAAATGCTAGTGCCTAATCACAGGCAACCATCTGTTCGCTTCATTTGCCGCCTGCAGGCGAAGAAAGTGTGATGTAGTCTCTTTAAGCCGATCCCCCTCCAGCGAGCCATGGACAACCACAGCTTCTGGCCAACACCATTCGTCGCTCCTCCATCCAGATGCAATTCTATCCCATTCTGCTATCAAGCAGCCTGTTACCCCCTCTGATCAACCCTGCCGCCGCCGCCGTTGAAGAGGATGAGCGAGCGAGGAGGAGGGATGCAGGCGCGGGGGGGGGGGGTTAGGAGCAGGAAATTGTATTTAATGAGAAAGTTTTTTACAAAAAATCTCATCAACCCTGGTCGGAACAGTAACTCCGGTCAAATTTAAGGCCTATATGACACTAGAGTCAAAAATTTATACCAATCTGATAAAACTAAAATAAAATATACCAATATGTCACCAAACCTCTAAAAAATATACCAATTTGGTCATTTTGCCATTTTGCAACTTAAAACACAAATGGATTTAAAAACAATTAAGTATTATATTCTCGGTATGTGAATGATTTTGCGAGTGAAGGGGTTTGAAAATAATATCCGGTAAAATATTGGGTTTATTTGTGAAAAAGCCGGCTTCATTTGGAATTTTTGGTGCTTAAAAAAACACAAATTAATGGTGTTTAATGCCGACCTGAATAAAATAGAACGATTTCTCTAATTAGAATTAGAATAAACCCCCCCCACCTCAACTTCCCACTTCCTCAATTTTCAAATCTCCAAAAATTCTCAGATCCAAAACTCAAGTTTGAGAAGGTACGATCTCTCTTTCTATTGCTCTTTTTTGGTTTCTGGTTCGATTTCGCTTTCAAGAGGGTGCTTTGCTTGCTCTGGACTCAATAAAAGTTTGCACCTTTTCCCCTTTATGTGTCTATTTTCATGTCTTTATTCTTATGGGTCTCTCTAATTTTGCCTGTTTTTTCAAACAAATTTCTTGAAATAGGCCAGTTTGTGAATTATCCGATCTGGGGCTCTTGCATGTTAGTTTGGTGAGTAATTCATGAGCAAAAGTTGCTGTTTTATGTGCTAAATTTTCCCCAAATGCAGAATTGTGTAGTCATCTAAAAATAATTAAATTCTTACAGCATTTGAGGCTGAACTCTTCTAATTATTTTTGTGGAAACTTGGCAGTTCTTCAATTCCCTGACCCGGGTTCTTGCATGTTACTCAGGTGAGTAATTCTATGAGAAAAAGTTAGTTTCTCGTTGTTTATGTGCTAATTGTCACCCAGATGCCTGTAAATTTGATGAAATTTACTACTAATTCAAACCTAACAACATTTTCAGAGGCTGAATTTTCAAGCAAAATGATCAATAGGAAGGCTATGGGGAAGGCTTCCCCAATTTTCCTAATACTACTGACTCTAGGGTTCTTCTTTGCGACCTACAACCTAGTCACACTAGTAATCCACAACCAGAATCAAGAACGGGTGAAAGAGATGATAGGTTCGACGACTGCTGACCCGGTAATTCAAATGCCCGAGGAGTTGAAGAAGTCGGTGGGACCAAAAAGGCCATTTCATGTTGCGCTAACGGCGACGGATGCTCCTTATAGCAAATGGCAGTGCAGGATAATGTACTACTGGTACAAGAAGATGAAGGAGGTGGAGGGGTCAGATATGGGAGGGTTTACAAGAGTTTTGCATTCTGGGAACCCTGATAACTTGATTGATGAGATCCCCACCTTTGTTGTCAACCCCCTGCCGTCTGGCATGGACCGGGTGAGTGATTGTTCCTTTGTCATTTTTCTGTTTTCGAAATACAGCATATGCATTCGCAACAAAGTAGAAAGGATATGAAAGAAAGTATATGTCCCTACTGACAGTCATCATATTATCAATCATTATCTTTTTGCATTAGTTGTGACCAAATTTACTGAACATATGGAGCAGAAAACCTTACGATGTATGTTATTTGACGATGATATAATGTTAATTAGTTGAGTGAATAGGGAAGTGATAATTTTTAAATTAAAAATGGAGATAAGCTCTTGAATCGAAAGGATTTAGAGTTAGTGGAACGAAAACATAATACATAGGGTACAATGTTACTAAAACTATAGAAAGAAATGGGCATATAATACATATTAATGGCCAGAGAATACCTGGAAGTTAGCATCTTTGATACTTAGGATTAGGATAATGTTGTTCTCGAATCAAATAGTATGTAGAGGAGTGCTTCTGGAATTCTATGTGGTCATAGAACAACAATGAGTTGATAAGAGCATTCAATAAGACATATGTAAGAGCTACAATGCTTTATGAATCAGAATGATGCACAAGTAAGAAACAACTTGTGCAAAAAATAGATGTAGCAAAAATGTTAGTGTTATGATGGATGTATAGATAATGGAAATAGTATAATAAAAACATGCGTTCATAAGAAGCCCAAATTCCATGGATTTCTCCTATTGAGGATGACTGAGAGACAATCAATGAGATGGTTGGGCCGTCTGCAATGCAATGGACGCCACTAATGTGCCAATGAGAAGAAGTGAAAAATTATAATTAATAAAGCAAGGATGACTAGAGATTTGCATCATAGAACTTGGTTGGACGCAATTAAGAAGGATAATATAGTGATTAATTTAATAGAGGAGATATCTTTTTATAAAAATGAATGGAGGAATAAAATTCATGTAACCTGCCCCAAAAATTTGAAATAAAGGCTTTGTTATTGTTTTATGGATGGAATTCCGTTACATGAATTGATGTTCTTTTTCTTGGTGTATTTACTTTGCCTGCTTCCTAACATTATCGGGGAATTCTAGATGGGTGGTTTACACACTTTGTTTGCCCTTGGCAAAGTTGGTGGGAATTTATAGAAAAATTTGTGAACATAATCAATATGTTTTACTTCTTAAGCTTCACCAAACGAAGGTTCTTAGATTTAGGTATAACTTATGAACACAAGGAAATGTAAGCCATTGGGAATGATGATACAACAACTATGGCACAAGGAAAATCATATAATCAATATCATTATTAATAGTAAGCGACATGCTATGATGCATAAAAGCATAATTTTTATATTGTGTCTTATTATTGTTGAACGATGTGGCTTCCTTTTATACATGTCCAACATTTAGCAGACACCCACAGAGCCTGTTACAGACACAAACTGGCTAAGAGCTAAGTTTCTTATGTTCTGATTTTACAGCATCAATGCAAGTTGTAAAGCCTCTTGCTAGAAAAGTTGGGAGGTTGTAATGCAGCTATCTGAGCTGAAATGGTTTCACAACAATATTGTACAAAATTGATTGGAGCTAAATGCTTTACATCTATGGAATTGTTCTCTTGATAAAAAAACAAACCATTATATTATCAGACAACTGGCAACCTTCTACCTGTTGGGCGTGTCGGCTCTGAACATACATGGAACAAAATAGCAAACATGTGATATAAAGTATTATATGTAAAGTTGGAATAATAGAATATTTTGCTTTAAAGGGTCACATTCAGCTCTAGGCACATATGTTAACTGACTAAACGTTAAAAAATTTCTCAATTGTGGGGTCACATTCAGCTCTAGGCACATATGTTAACTGACTAAACGTTAAAATTTCTCATTGTGGAATAAAGAATGCATTTTGTTCAGTCCTTAAGATATATTCTCTAAACACTGTTTTTGTAATTCTCTAAAATTGAATGCTAAAAAATGCATGTTAACTTAGATTATGCATTTATATCCTCCTTAAATGAAAATGCATTCTTCGGATCTACTATCTTAAATTACAAAGCCAAACTATGTCTTTTTCACAATGTCAGTATCATATATTTGTCTCTCTTCAAATTTGGCTTTACCAGAAATTACAATGTTATAAAGTGCTAAATAAGATTATTCATTCCTTTCTTTTCACATTACTCTTGAATGCTGTCCTTAGGGTTATATTGTATTGAACAGACCATGGGCATTCGTGCAGTGGCTTGAGAGAGCACATATTGAAGAAGAGTGAGCACTTTTGAGTCACTTTTTATTATTATTTCAAATTCCATTATTAATTGCTGCACTCATCCTTCTTGCTTGTATGGATGCAGCTATATACTAATGGCTGAACCGGATCACATCTTTGTGAACCCTTTACCAAACTTGGCTCGAGGAAGTTATCCTGCAGCGTTCCCTTTTTTCTACATTAAACCAACAGATAATGAGAAAATCATACGGAAGTTTTATCCTGAAGAGAACGGTCCTGTGACTAATGTTGACCCAATAGGGAACTCTCCTGTTATTATTCAGAAGGTAAATCATTTTGGTTTGCAGCTCCTATGCAGCTATTTGAGTTATAATAAAAAAATTGCAGAAATTTGGTCAATGGCCATATGATACGGAGTTATTTATTGAGTAGATTACTTGTTACATTCCCTTGCTTGTAGACCTTATAGAATACCTTTCTTATGCATGACTAATTGCTTAATACATTGGTCAAACACAGTCCCAGTTGCAAAAAATTGCTCCTACATGGATGAATGTCTCATTGAAAATGAAAGATGATCCAGAGACAGATAAAGCTTTTGGTTGGGTATTGGAAATGTGAGAGCTATTCTTCACTACGTCCTTGTACCTCCTCTAGATATCTAGCAGTAGAATTGGACGAGCTTTATTTATTTTTTGTTTCTTGTTTGTGCTTTTGAACGAAGGTATGCTTATGCAGTGGCGAGTGCGTTGCATGGAGTCCAACATATTCTTCGAAAAGATTTTATGATACAGGTAGAATATATGCTAACGCTTATTTTGTTGTTCTGTTTTATGATATCCCTTAATTATTTGTTTATTTTATTTGTTGATTATATTACAAGTTTTGTTTAGAGAAAATTTGAATCATCATTTTCAGCCTCCATGGGACTTGAAGGTGGGAGGAACATTTATAATTCATTACACTTATGGATGTGATTATTCATTAAAGGTAACTGCATTCCCACTAATTTATAGTACCTGTTTTTTCATAAATGAGCTTCCATTAAATATGTAGTATCATTGAGTTTCTTTAATTTGTCTGGCATGCTTACAATATACACCTCATACGTGAGCATGTGTGTGTGAGAATAATAAGTATCATATTCGTAGCGAGAGATTCTAACATATACAGTGACATCGCTGAATCTTAGTCAATTAAATAAAGGGGTTCTTTCTTTATTCTCTCATACACAGTGATATGCCTGAATCTCAACCAAATGAATAAAGGGGTTCTTCCTGTTTTACTCAACCGACAACACATGGCTTCGACCACATCACTATTCACAGTGTATGAGAGAATTCCCTAGTATGTTATATGATACCCTATTCTCATATATTTATAAGCTATAATGTTTATATACATAGGAAAAGGGTAGAATAAACTTAAGAGATTTGTTTTGGTGCATGATTCACATCAAGGCACACATCTCAAAGATAGTCTTGATGTAAATCACACACCAAAACAAATCTCAAAGTAAATCCAACAGAAAAAAAGGTGGTAGAGCCCCCACCCCCCTCTCTGTGTACATGCACACACATACAGGATACAGGAGGATCATGTACAATCAGACACCAGTAGTTCTTCCTACCTGTAGATATTTGTTTTGTTTGTCATGTTAAAAATTATAATTTTGTATGTGAAGTCTTCAAACTTGAGTCACTGAACTTGAGATATTTTCCATCACACTTGCAAGGTGAGAGATCATGATAACTCTTGCCTTATTTTTTTTTTCTTTTTTGGCGTACGCCCTTATTGAAAATTCAATGTTAAATTAGGGCGAGCTTACTTATGGAAAAATCGGCGAGTGGCGCTTTGATAAAAGATCTCACCTTCATGGCCCACCTCCAAGAAATCTTACCTTACCACCACCAGGGGTCCCTGAAAGTGTGGTATGTCTTTTATTTGTAAATCCTTGGAAATCATAGATTATGCTACATTCAATCTCTTTCACTTTTTGGACATTATAACAAGCTCTGTGAATGGATTCACATGCTGTCATTCATTACTTTTATACTCAATTGAAAATATTTCTTTTTTCCTCTTTGATGTCCTGGTTTTGCTACTGTCTCTCCCCTCCTTTCCACATATAATGGAAGAACTTTTACTGTTCCTTCCCTCTAATTATAATTGTATTAATAATATTAAAGCTGTGTTGTCATCTCCATATTATTTATTTAACGATTTCCATATTCCCATTTGTCAGCCCAACCTCAAGTTACTACACACACAGACGGATACCTTACATACATATGCATGCATTCATGCAGACACATACATGTTGGGGGTGGGAGCAATTCTAATACTCCTAGCCTCCTAGGGCATATAACTAACTTGTGTATGTCATTGCCTGCTATAAAGTGAAATGGTGTTTCATTACTTTTGACTAACCATTCCTTCCATTTTGATCTGCAGATCTTGAATAGTCTAAGAAAATTTAGGCATATTGAGTTCTAATCTGTAATTAGTCATGCATAAGTGCTTATAAAAGTAACAGTTTGACATAAATACGCTAAAAGAAACATAAGACATGAATACGAAGTTTTGAAACATCAATACTTTTTATTTATTGATGTTTTAATATATGTCGATCATGATAAATGAATTGAATCATATATTAAATACCTAACTCATGCATCAAGAGGTTGTTAAGAAAACAATTAATTTTGGCAGCCACTCAATGCACGTATCATATGTGGTCAACAAACATAAACACAACGTTTCAGCTGCGTAAATTAAATTGAACGACGTGGATCGTCCAACCGTATCGTGTAATGCACATTTTTGTAAGTGGGCAGAACTAGCTTAATCATGCCTTAGAAGTATTTAAAAAAAAAAGCCTCTCCCGCTCACTCCACACACAAGTATGCAATGAATATGAGGAGACATCTCATTTTTCTAAACGGACCAAGAGGTGAACGAGTGGTAATGCCTATACTGTTAGACACATTGGAACAAATTGACCTCAACTATATTTTGCAATGTTACATTAAACGCTAGGCGCTTCTAGGCGTCAGACTTGGCGCCTAACGCTTAGTCGCCTAGGCGGGCGCCTAAGCGGTTTCTGGGCGTTTTTTTTCTTCTTTTTTTTAATTGTGATACTTGAAGATAAATATATATACCCAATCAAAGATGCATAAATACTAAAATATCAACACTGTTAACTAAATTGCTTGGTTTACCAATTATAATAGCTCTTTGTATGTTTATACTTCTCAACTCAAATTATAAGTTCATCTCAACAGTGAAAAACTCATTCTCAACTCAAATTACTGTTAACTTATAAGTTATTGTTAAGTTTAAGTTAACAATAAACTCAAATTACTGTTAAATGAAGTTTGGAGGACGTGTAGGCTACGACACATAAAATCACAATGAAGTCCTATAGAGTGCAATCCACGGATCCCACGTAAGCAGACAATGCTCCCCTAAACGCTCGTAAAATCCAGGTGGGCAGCCTAAATACCGCCTAGGCGTTAGGCGCTAGTTAGGCGGCCTAGGTACCGCCTAGGCCTAGGCGTACGCCTAAGCGGACTAGGCGGAGGTTTTTTAAAACAGTGCTAACAAAAATAGATGTGATAATAAGTTTGTGAAAGACATTAGTTCTTTGGCTAACTGCGTAACTATGATAATCGGATAACGTTTCTACCTAGAGGAACAAGGACTTTCCATAGTTGCATGTGATAAATTGCTATCTAATTACACTGCATGGGTGGATTGAAGAATTAAGAAACGGATGTAGGACGAGCATAAGATAAGATCCTTTAAGTGCTACTCTTTTGCATTGCAGTTGATAATCTTTATATTGATAAGACATGCTTTTATGTCCAAAGTCTTCTAAAGAGACTCATGTGGAATTGGAATAAAGTGTAAGGGGGGTCATGATCATATCCTAAACATAAAAGGAATTCCTTGTAGAAGATGCCCGCTTCAACGGTGATTTGGTAATCTCGGCATAACAAAGCAAAATATTTAGAAATAAACACAACCTCTAGCTGACAAATGGAGTTATCCTTTTAATGGAGCATTGGAGTGAGAGCTAAAATTACCAAATTCTGTTCCTTACCAGTGTAATTGCAAACTATTTACAAAAGTGTGACACACGGTGAACTGCCTTGTTGAGGTTGTTGATATGTGGACACTTATAACCTTTCAGACGTGTGTCTATGGAAACAAAGCACTTCTTCATGATCACTGATAGCAAACACCAGTTATCTGTAATCTGGTGTTATCTGTAATCTCTACGTAACTATCATGCAAGTGGCTTGGTTAAAGGGGTTTCTTCATCTTCCTTTTGGGCGGGCAAATTCCATATACGATGATTACCATGTTTTGGAACTATCAGTCTCAATGTTTGTATATTGGGAAACTTTGACTATTTTTACTTAGTACTTAATTCGAGTAGGAGTACATAATTTGCATGGTGTGCTGCAAAATAATCTATTATTTTTTAGGGTTAATTGCGAACAAACCCCTTGAAATATATCCTAATTGTAAAGAGACTCCCTGGAGTTCTATCTATTACTAATAGAGCTGCTGTAGTTCTGCTTGTTCTGAATAGACCCCCTGAGTGAATTTTTGTGACTCTTAAGATCATTCAAAATGTCTGAGGAGGCAAACAGACCCCGTTTAGTTATATTGATAAGGATAGAAATGCAATTGCTTTCCTTTAACCTTTTAAGAAAGTTAAAAAAGTTCACTAAGGGGTGTATTCGTACTTGGGCCCAATACTGTAGGAGGGCTATTAGCAACAAGTAGAACTACACGGGGTCTGTTCACAACAAATAGAACTATAGGGGATCTCTTCGCAATTGGGTAATACTTCATGGGGTCTGTTCACAGTTAACCCTTTATTTTATACATTGACCTAACCAGTCCATAAAGATTAAATAGACAAGGCTTTGTATTGTCATTTCATATCCGCGCATCAATTTTTTTCAAATAAACCCAAGTAAGATAGAAAAGATGAGTTTCATAAATATGTCATGAAAGTATGTCATGAAAGTTAATCCTTTCTAATACTAACAATTGCCATCCATCTTAGAGTCAAAGACTAATATTCACACACCTGTTTATTTATATACACTAGGTTTTATGTACGTGCAAATGCATGTGGTTAAATACTATGATTAAATATTTTTATTTATTTACTAAAATTTGTTCCTCAGTTTCACTTTGATTGTTTTTTTTTCACTTATGTCCTTAAACTTTAGTATTGTGATTATTTTTTTTTCTTTAATGTTTGTTTGAATGAGCTACACTAAATTTAAAATTTTCATGTTAATAATTGAATTGATAAAAAATAAATGTAATGTAAAGCTAATTTGAATTTTCACGTTATTTGGATCGACATGGAACCAAGCTTGACTTGAGAATGTATTATATTGGAAAAGTTAAAAACACTTGAAAAAATAGCATTATAAAAGAAGGATGGATAATTAAAACCAATAAGCCAAGATGATTAATTAAAAGTGAGCTAGAATGAAACTAAAGATAATATAAATTTTGTTAATCATTGATAGACTTCAGAAAAAATCATAAAATAAAGATTAATGATAACTCTAGTACACTTTTATATGATAAAAGCATTCATATAACCATATAAAAATATAAAAAGAGTTCATGAGAATCTCTTATAAAGTTTCTTGACTTTACTTAAAAAATTAAGTTATTCTATAAAATATTCTATAAAATATTTATAAAGCGCCTTGATGGAGATGCTTTTATTTTAGCAGCTTGTTCTGAATGAGCCCTGCATATCAGCTTTAAACTGTAATATTTTTTTCTTTATCATGTTATATAGATGTTTGCTTGGTTTACTTATCATTCTATTATTTCTTTAATAAGTTGTATCTTTAAATTGATATATATTATTAACATAATTTACGATGACATGCATATCTTTCCTACAAATTTGAAATAGATATAATGTGAATTTTATGTTTAGTGACCTTTAATAAGAATTTTAGTTATAAAATATGTTACCTTCATATTTAAAGATCTTAAAATCTGATAGTACTATTACATGCTTATCTTTGATCGTGTCCTTAAAAATTAATCCTTCATTGGTAGTTATATCCTCAAATAAGGTTACTTGTAGAGTCGTGCCACTATGCAGAAAAATATCAATTTTAATTTTTTTTACTTACACTATGACAACTAAGTAACATGTGCATACTTTTTGTCCATTATAGTGATTTTCCTCATCTTATCTTGCTTATTATATCTCGCAATATAGTTGATCAACTACTTCACTTTAGTTTCTATTGTAAAATTATTTGTATATAATCTTATATTAAGTTTATGATTCCTTTAGTATTTCAAGAATAAAGTGTAAAAATTTATAAGTACTTACTAATTTTTCTTGTATCTTTAATGAAGAATGCTTTCTTAAGTAGAACAAAATTGTTCAATATGTTCTTCAAAGGGAATTCGGTCAGTGCTTCTTTGCTAGATATGCCTTTTATCAATGTCAATTCAGGTGATTCATGAATGTTTCCGAATTTTGAGTTTATTTCCTTCACTTCTTCATTTGAAAAGAAACAACTTAGTTTTTTTAAATGATTTCTCTGAATTTTCTGATACTTTCTCCATACATAACTCAATTGTATTTTATACCCTATAAATATTATCAACATAAGAGAGAAATGTTTATACATTATAATCAATTAATGCTAACCTATTATATTATAGTCTTTTATTAATTTGTCTTCTATAAATGAATGTTATTAGTAAAATTATATGTAGTTCCATGAATTTATATAGTAATTTTAATTTTTAATCTATCATATATTTTTAAATTCTTATTCCTTAACTGGATAGTTTTAATCTACTGTAATTACTATTTTTTATTGGCATCAACTTAGACTACTTTTAGATGTTAAAAAGGATGATAAATTTTAAATTAAAAGTTAAATTTATATATCTTAATGTAATAATATCAAATATTTCCTCTTTTCTTTGCCAAATTCCAGCCTTTTTGTGATTTTGAACTTTTGAGGGTGTGTTTTGTAATTTTTAAACTTTGATAGTATTTTATGAAAATTTTAAATTTTAAGTTGGATGCTTATAATTTTCATGTTTCATGTATTGGTGGTAAGTTTTTAAATGTTAGAATGTTTATTGTAACTTTAAAAATTTGAAAATATTTTTACAATTACTAAAATTTTGGGTTGTTTTTTGAAAAACTTAAATTTTTAGCGATCTGCTGATAATTTCTAAATTTGATGTGTACCGGTTATAAGGTTTAAAATTTCAAGATTTTTGTATATTTTTTTTACTTTTGAGGGAGTTTTTGTAATTTTGAAACTTTGATGTTATTTTTTTATAAATTTTAAAAAATTTAAGTGCCTAATGGTAATCCTTGGAATTCATCTATGTTGTTTTTAAGTTTTGAAATCTCAGAATTTTAGGGTGTTTTTTTAATTTAAAATTTTAAGGTTTTTTCTTTAATTTTTAAAATGTTGAGGGTATTAATTGTAAATTTTAAATTTTTAGATTTCGTGTTTGTTTTTAAGTTTTAAAAAGTCAAGGTGTTTTGTGTAATTTTAAACTTTTAAGGTTATTATATGCAATTTTTGAAACTTTGAGTTTTATAATATGTTATCTACGTATACTTTCTTAATCTTTTTTTTTCTAATTTGTTGAGCTATAAGTAGATCACGTGGAATTAGATAAGACATGATTAAAGTTAGAATAAATTAAGATTTAAATAAAATATTCAAAATAGTGAAGGGTAATATTGACCATGAAAAGTTTTTCCTGAACTCGTGTTTTTAAAAGGAGTATGATATATACAATTTTTGAAATTTTTGGGTTTTATAATATGTTATCTACGTATACTTTCTTAATCTTATTTTTTCTAATTTGTTAAGCTATAAGTAGTTCATATGGAGTTAATATAGGATATAATTAGTATTTGGATAGATTAAGATTTAGATGAAACATTCAAAATAACTTTTTTTAAAGTGTTGAGCTATAGATAGTTCACGTGGAATTAGATAAGATATGATTAAAATTAGAATAGATTAAGATTTAAATAAAATATTCAAAATAGTGAATGGTAATATTGACCATGAAAAGTTTTTCCTGCACTCGTGCTTTTAAAAGGAATATGATATGTATGTATGAATGCTTGGTATGCATGCATGTATGTATGTGTTTATGTGCGTGTATGTGGATATTGGATAAGAGTTGTCACCTCATTGAGCAAAATGAGCTAACAAGAGGTATGACTGGTGAGGTCTACCTACACCGGTTTGACAAGCAGGACAAGCCTCACCACTAATCTCTCTTAGTAGCTTGATTACTAGAATGTATTGTCATCTCATGCCCATTATTTCATATATGTATTTGTTTGTGTGCGGGCAGGAGTGCAAATGATGTGGCAGCTCATTTTACTAAATGAGCTATAGATGTTAGACATGTAGTGAGGCTTATGCTACTAGTCACATTGAAAGGTTGGTACACACTACTTCTATTTCTTGGTAGCTCAGCTACCTCCACATAATAATCAGAACCCATATATGTTTGTGTGTGGGTGCATGCGCTTGTGCACTTGTGTGTTGGTTGTGAGGATGGTGAGACTCACTCATGGGATGTGACTTCTTGGGTGGGTCTTACACCCATGGTAATCTCTTCGTACCTTTTTAGCAAAATAAGTCGCCACCTCATGCCCATTAGGCACATATAGAGTATAGACGCACACATATATATAGTTTGGTTACTTTGATAATTACTAGATAAATAGATAATTTGTACCATAGTTGGAAATTTCGAGTGCATACATATCAATATGTCATTCATGGTTGAGTTCCTTATTTTAATTTTAAATATATTTATTGCCAGGAAGGTCCAAGATTTAAAAGAAAAGGCCATGGCACGTCTAGGCAGGCTCCAGTTTTTTGTCAGTCATCATTCAAGTCCTCTCCCATTGTGGTCCTTAGTTAGCTTTAACTCTTCTACATAAATTCTTGCTAAGCAAACATAAAAAGACGATAGATATCTATCTTTCCTTTCAGTTAATGAATTCCTTGAATGAATCTTCTTTTCCTGGGTTGCACGCAATGTGAAGTATCTGTAGAAATATTTGGGTTCATTTAGCTTATAGATATCACTGAATTCAACTCATCCTTATGAGAACTTTCTGAGTTGAAGATCGATCTTACTACTTGGTGCTAAATTTTGCATGATGTTCACATAATGTATCTGTATAAATATTTGGGTTCATTGTGCTTATAGATCTTACTGAATTTTCAACTCATCCTTATGAGAACTTTCTGAGTTGAAGATCGATCTTACTACTTGGTGCTAACTTTTGCATCATTTTCACATAATGTCAACTGGATACACGGTTGATAGGACCACCCACATGGCCTCATGGCTCATCCTCTTTTTCCTCGGTATCACGAACGGGTTATGGGTCCTACATTGATCGTGAGATGTTAGGAAAGTGATGAAATTTGCAGTAGTCCCTCTTAGAATATGATCAAAATTTCCTTATAAGTTGAAAGTTTATGGTCGTAAATATTTCAATTCAAGTGTTATTTAATCTCCGTTCTAAATTGCATGTATAGCTTTCTTTGGGTTAATTGCAATAGACCCCCTGCGGTGTCACTGTTTTGAACTCACTACACCTCAAGTTTTATCTTTGCCGTAGCCCCCCTTCCGTGAATTTCTTTGACTCTTTTTCACTCCTTTTTTTTTGTTGATGTTGGTTTTTCTTTTTTTTTATTTGGGTGGGAGGGTGGGTGGGTGGGCGGGGGGGGGGGTGTTGTCGTGGTGAATTGTCAAAAAGAATTCTCTTTCTATTAGGATAAATAAAGACAAAAGCTTCACTTAGGGGGTCTTTTCTGGAAATAAAACTACAGGGAAAACAGATATACCGCAGGGGGTCCATCTGCAGTTAACCTGCATGCTTATTGGCAACTCGGTCAGTTTCAATAAAAACTTCTTGTCATAACCATTACTGGTTTAACTTGTGCAGGTTACCCTCGTGAAAATGGTTAATGAGGCTACAGCTAATATTCCAGGCTGGGATGATTCAAGCTAGTGAAATATTATAAAAGAGACGGCATTTTAAGGAAACTAGCTGTTAAATTTTCTTTTAGACACACAATCGGAAAGAGCGCGCCCATAATAAACATAAGAGGAAGATCGTCTTGGTTGAGAGAAAGATGGAGCAGAAGTAACTGTACTTTTCTGGTGGCTGTTTCTAAATAAGCAAACTCCTCAATCAAATGCCGAAGCTTCCATAGGTTGCTGGTTTCCTTCAACAGTTTCTTCAAAGGTTGTCATGATTTGAAGTGGGTTTTGTGATGCACAGTGTAGTAGACTCTCAGTAGGAACTTTAGCATCCGTCACAATGTTTCATTGATTACAGTGGATGAACTCTTTTAAGTTACTCTTCCTTGATTTATAGATTTTACCATTTGTGAATTCTCAGTTATACGGATTACTCTATGGGTAAATTGTGAAAATTATATGAGATTTGACTATGTGTTAATTGTAGATAGACCCTTTATACTTCTATTGTTGCAGATGGAATCTCTAGACTCTCGACTCTATTAGTTTTCCCGTTTATTATGCCAGTGTAATTCAGTGTATGAAGCCCAATTTTTATTGCGAAACGAACGGAGTTGAGAATTCAAGGGTTCCATCTACAACAATGGAGGGCTTTATTCCATAATTTGGCAATAGTACAGAGGGTCTAACTGCAATTAACATGACTTTGCCTTAAAATCTTAATCAATGGTGGTCACAAGATACAAGGAGATTGATGCATGTGCGCTGGTCACCATCAGCATGGGAAGAAAGCTCGGTTATGTTTTCGGTGCTGTAGGAAATTCATTGAAAGGAATCAAAGCTATGATGTTGATCTGTTTCTAGCTGGAAAAGCTTTCTTTGCTTTGAGGATCTTGATCTTCTTAATAATACCCTCTTCATTGTCACCTTCGTAATTAGAAGGTCGCTTTCTCAATTATAACGGTGCAATAATATGTATCCAGATTTCATTGTATTGTTCGGAAGTTGAGTTTGGATGTAAATGCTATCTCTTGTTGAATGAAAATCCAAAATTTTCCCAAAAAAAAGTACCCATGCAATAATTGCGTAAATGCTCATTTTCCATTGCTATAAACTATCCTAATATATGTATCTAAATGATGAACATCATGATTGAGAAAATAATACTTTTACTATTTAGTCTAATGAGATAATCCCATGGTCCCCTTTTTTTTAGTTCTTTTTTTCCCTTTCCCTTAACACCTTGTTTGGATGGAGGTTAATAGATGGAAGTTAAAGTGAAATTTCATTTGTTTGGGAGCTTTTTTGAGGGGTTAGAGGATGGAATGCAAGGTTAAATTTCCTTCTATTTTCCTCCCTTCCAATTTGGGGGGGTGGGGGGTAAAGGATAGAGTGAAAATCAATGTAAAATTTTACAATGCGATAAGACATTATACCCTTATGATATTAAAATCAATGGCTATTATATACTCACATCTAATATGTAAGGATATTTATATAACTTTATACATATTCACTTCACTTCCCTCCTCTTTATTTGAACTCCCAAATAAAGTAAAACAAATTTATTTCCGTTCCCCTTACTAAACTCCCAAACAACATTTTATCTTTTCACTTTCATTTCCTATGTTTTCTTTCCATTATTTAACTTTCCGTTCCTTTCCTTAGTAAAGTCTCAAACAAAGCATTAATATTTCTTTTTCTTTATATATGACAGTGAATCGCTCAGTTAAATCCCCCTCCCCTCAATTGCTGACTGTAGGAGGTAAACAGGATCAGATTATTTCTTAACTCCTAACGTGGGCCGGGTTAGTCTTTAGGTCATCATGTGGGTTGGGCGTTTTAGATTGCTGAAGAAAGGAACACTACATTAGTACTACATCTACACTTTTTGGTTGAAATTTTATCTTAAGATTAAGATTTGCAGATCCAAACCACGTTGTAGGAATACCCAAGAAAAATAAGATGAGGGCATGGTATATTATTAAATAGATGATATATAACTAAATTGTAAAATTAGGGGCTAAGTTTTAGGGATCTTATAAAATTTCCCAAGTTATTAGGGGTTTTGTGAGAGTTCCAATTTTTTGGGGGCTCAAGTTCTAAACACCCAAACTTATAGGGCGTTTAGTGGAATTTACCCTACTTATAGTTAACAACGTAATATCTTTTAAGTTGTTTTAATAGACATTAAATAAACAAGGATCAATTGATTAACATGCTAGGTTATATTTGTTTTAATTCTTATCTCTTTGTTAATGTTGAAAATAATAAAGGATCGGTTTTATTTGTTGGGGAATTTTACTCTCCCCGCCTACTACAATATGCGCAATTCGGAAGCGAACTCACAATCAATAAGATATAAAATAACACAATCAAGAAGAAAGAACACCGAGATTTACGTGGTTCAGTCGACCAACTTTGACATACGTTTACGAGGCAACAATACGAGAAATCCGTTATGTATCGGGGGTACTACAAGAGGAACCACTTATCTCTCATCTCTCAATCTCTCAACCTCACATATACAATTTAACTCTCATATTATCTCTAAAGCCCGCTCATTATAATCTTTTGAACGAACAAAGACTGTGAAACCCTCTCCCAATGATATAATCTTTTACACGGACAAAAACTACGAAACTCTTGCCTCTTGCACATATTTTTTAATCAGGCTATGCCCTCTGCTAAGCCTAGATTATAAGAATATTGACTCTCTCTCTTCTGCTTTTTTTTCCTCCAACAATAGAAGAATATATATATATATATATATATATATATATATATATATATATATATAGAGAGAGAGAGAGAGAGAGAGAGAGAGAGAGATTAATGTGTATCCTTGTCATAGGAGGGCATTTCCTCCTTGACACCTCTAAAATCACATGATTGAGCGACGTTATGGATAATCCGCTCCGTTGAACTTGATCTACATATTCTAAAACCCCAACACACCAAGTTTCGGGTGAACCCGTCGCTCGTTTGACCTCATCCACTCGTATCAATTTTAACGGTTTTGAATGATAGACTTTTCACATGGCTCGATGGAGAGGTCAAACGACGACGGATTACCCCAAACTTGGTGTGTTGGGGTTTTAGAATATGTAGATCAAGTTCAATGGAACGGATCATCCATAATGTCGCTCAATCATGTGATTTTAGAGGCGTCAAGGAGGAAATCCCCTCCTATGACAAGGATACCCATTATCTTACTAATAATATAATTATATATTATATATATATATATATTATATATATATATATATATATATATATAATATATATATATATATATATATATGGAAACAAAAACTCTATCTCCATCCTAACTTTCTAATTAGAATAGGATTCAAACTCCTAATCATGATGAGACCAAGTCTTCTAATCATGATAGATCTCTAACCCTATCTAATTCTCATGAAGTTATACAAAGAATCAAAGATACAATCCCAACAATCTCCACATTGGATTTAATTCACAAACTCCCTTGAAGGTATATCATCGTTGTCTTGAAACTTTACCTCTCCTGCTAGAGTCTTCTATTTCTTTCGCACTTCAAATTGAAGCACCTGCACTTCAAATGGGACGTCTCGTGACCCTCGCTATCATCTGCTTCAGCGTGGCGCCTCCACCTCTCTTATGCGCACCAAGAGATCTTCGCCACCTCTGACATTAAAAGAAAATCAATCATGCTTCTCCTCCTGAACTGAACTTGACAGTAGTCTTCCCCCACTTGCTGTCCTCGTACTCCACCTGCATCGCTCGTCTCAAATCATAAGAGTGCACCTCTTCTGCTCCACACTACGAGCCAGATGCCTCCATCTCCTCCATCACTTAATTTGGACCAAATATGAACACTCATCGTCTTTAAGTTTAATGCCACAATCTCCATCAGCATGTATGTCACTTAGTCGTGCCTGCTTGCAAGCTCCACCTAATCTGGCACTTTCCTCCTTGAGTCTACACACCAACCAACTATTGCTCCCGCGATGTAAAACCCTGTAATTTAAAAATAAATACTATGGTAAATAGTATTAAATGATTTATATTATGATAAATATCATTTAATTATGAATGGGCATGATAGTAATTAATTTGAGACTAATTAAGAGTATATATGCATTATGCATCGATGCAATTCGAATCTGAAGAAACGACCAGTTAAGATTATATATGCATTACATGCCGATGTAGTTCTAATCTGGAAAAACTCAAAAGACAAAAGTTGTAGGTCTCTTTAATAGATTTCCAACTCATCTTAAATCTTCTCATTCCGACATCGGATAAAAGAGTTACAGCCAAAATACCGAAGATTATTTTTCCAGTCTGACTGGGTTTCCTGTTTCTGGTCAGATTTGTTTGTTTCGGATTTGCCACTATATATACCTGTATTTTTTATAAAAAATTCCTTTTTACATCATATTTTTGAACTCTAGCAGCCAACCTCTCCTCTCAAAAATCCTAGAGCATATTTTGGTGAATTTTAAGAGCTTTGTGAAGCAAATACCGAGAAGAGGGCGAGATCGTCGAAATTTGGCGAGGGAGAACCTGTTTGCTTGCACCCTTGGATTTTTCAGTAGCGTGTTAAGGTAAGATCATCTTCCTCCAAACCTATCCCATGTAAAAATTTATGTTTTTAATATGTATAATTGGTTAATCTAATGTGTAGTACTTATTTTGATGATTTTTAAATCCTAGTGTATAATTGGTTAATCTAATGTGTAGTACTTATTTTGATGATTTTTAAATCCTAGTTTTGATGTTAAATCTTAAAACAACAAAGAGATCAGAAGAATTAATCTTTAATTGATAAAAATAGATGATCATGATCATTAGTTTTTAGATTAATTGATAATTCTTGTTTTACATGGCCTAAACCCTAATTGTCGATGTATAGAATTTGAGAGTCTTGAACATGAAACAGTATAGTGATATAAGCTTGTGGATTAAAAACCCTAGTTTGATGTGTAGATCTGTGAATATAAATACTAAAAAAAGGAAATGTACTAATTTGATGTTTAGAACCGTGGTTAATTGCTAAGATGATAAACTAATTAGGTTTTAGACCCTAATTGTACAAACTTAATCTGATTAGTTATGTTTAAAGTATTTTTTTAAACCACAAAGATCACGTTATGATGATAAATAATTATTTAGTCAAACCCTAATATGTTAAACATATGAGGAAACATGTTTCTATACCCCATAATGATGTTCTATAAGTTCTTTTTGTTGAAATTGTCTTAACTTCACGAGACTCAAACCTGAGTTCTAGACTCTGGTCGGTCGACCGAACCCTCTGAGTTAGTGTACTTCCTTATTCGACCAAAGCTTTTTTTTATGCATGTTTATGCGAATTGGTCGTCAGTCGACCAATGCCTTGGGACAGTCGACCGACATCATGTCTTGTT